ACCATGGGCAAGACCAAAGAGCTGTCAAAAGACACCAGAGACAAAATTGTGGACCTCCACAAGGCTGGAAAGGGCTACAGGGCAATTGCCAAGCAGCTTGGTGTTTAAGAGGTGTTTACAAGTTCAAGAAAACACACATTAAGACCCAAAACTGGGTTTTAATGGCACTGTAAACAGTAAAAATTCCATTACTCGGATAAAATATGTTTTTACTCAAAGACGTGCTTAAAATATATATAAAACGTCATACAGATTAAAACATATTCTGATAATGATTTGTGTAGGATATCAACATCCCTAGCACAGCTACACTCCCCTCATTCTATATTCCATAACATATTCATGAAATGGTCATATAGTGACACATGATAAACAGGTATAACAATCACTCTTTTAGATGAAATCTATGAAATTTCAAAGAGAAGGAGAGAGGAGGAGCCTCAATTCTCTATGCATTGCACAGCTGAATCAAGCTGCTTAATCAAGAATAAAGAATCTCAGAATCTACAATATAACATACAGTATGAAATACAAGATTCTCATATACCAAAATACAAGGATATCGTACATTTCACATTATGTCATCAATATTTATTCATAAAATTTCTTACCAAAACACACATATAACAGTCTGGACCCCACAACTAACCCACGATAGTCCACCAAGACCCCAACCCTGTGGGGCTGCATGTACCGTAATAAGCAAACCACTGGAGCAGCCAGGAGCACATGCCCATCCATGTTGTCACCTACAAGTGGCAGTACTGGTAAAACAGCAATGGTATACAAACATTTTTTACTTAAGGATAACTATGAATATAGTGGTAGACCATTTTAACAAATACACAGTAAAGGGGGGGGGGCACCCTCAAAGTATAAATATGTAGTGCAGGTCACCTTCAGGCTTGCCACAGATTCCAAATCTTTTCAAATGGGTGCACAAGCATCCAGGCATGCAGCAACTGGAACAGTCTCACAATTCAATAACCAGGCACAGAATATCTTTTTATGCATTATTGTTCATTGACCTTGGATGGGGAGCAGGGATACTCCAAATTTAGTGCATGAGGTAATCAGAGGACACTCTTTGCCCTGTCTACTCCCTTCAGGGTAACTCTCCTCTTGGCAAACAACAGGAGAACAGAAACCCTCAATAACCCCAGGTTTCCAAGCAAAGGGAAGTCCCAATAGAATGGCACTGGAGCAGATACTCAAGGGGATAAAGCAGCAAACAGTCACTAGGATACCATATCCAAGCCTATACTCACTATGTCCCCATATACTTATTCAGTCCCCCCTGATCTGGCTCCAACTATTGCCAGCAAATAGGTCCCTCAGCTCTCACAGAGCTGGGACCTCAATGAATACTGCAGATTTCAGCTACACTGTCGACCAGGCTCCTCCATGCTGGAATCATCTCCTCCTAGACAGCAACCCTGCTGCTCCAGGCCTAAACTATTTATGCCCCCTCAGCCACATACTGGGCATCTGCCCCCCCTCCTCCCAGGATTGGCTGATACTAAATAAATATTCAGGCCAAGGCCCTGCCTCTTCCAGCCCACTACATTCTAGAATCCACTAGAAGCTAGGGGGAAACAACCAGTAAAGCCTAGAACAACCAAAAATAATCTGAGGAGCTAAAGAACTAAATTTGCCTGAATCTCTCTAGCAACTTATTCTAGGAGGGTGTTACATATAGATAAACAGATGTATATACTGTATATATATATAGAAATATATCTATATATATATCTATATATATTTTTTGCATGTTCTCCCTGTGCCTGCGTTTATTTCCTTCAGGTATTTCGGTTTCCTCCTACACTCCAAAGACATGCTGATAGGTTAATTAGATCCTGCCTAAATTGGCCCTAAAAGTGTATGTGTATGAATATTGTAAGCTCCTTAAGGGCAGGGACTGATGTAAATGTACAATATATATGTAAAGCACTGCACAAATTGACAGCGCTATATAAGTATCTGTAATAAATAAATAAATAAAATATATTCACTAAGAATCATGAGCTAACGGATGTAAATAAATATAGCTAGATATAAACCTAAATACTTCCATTTCCGAGAAAGAGTCCCAGAAATATACTGTACACATACATTCTTCCCCAGCATAGGTACAATGTACAGCGATTCCATTGATTAAAAACTAGACTTTTTACTAAGCATTTTTTTTTTGCACCCATTATACCATTATCGATGTTGAAATCGCAGCAATTGGAAATGGTTCTGGCTATTCACATCCTAAAGCCCAAACAAAATCTACATTCTTTTATGATTTTAATCATGAGCACTGTGGAAAGAACTATTCTATCTAAAACCAAAAGGGTAAAAAAAAAGAGAGAGAAAAAGAAAATCCCTTTTTGGTTTCTTAAGCTTTCAAAGCAAACAGACTGTTTCATCTTTCCACTCAGGCAGCCACGGAACAGACAGGCTGGTCAAAATGCCTAATTAGATCAAACAGGAACTTGGCTCAGGGAGAATGTAAGAATGCAATGGGGAAGGTGGCCCAGATGGTTCTGTGATAAGGTTCTTGTATCATTTCTCTGTTACATAGAGTACTTCAGATTAAGATGGATTTCAAGTTCCTGTTAAGTGCACAAGACATGGCATTTTTTTATGGCTGACACCCCTTTGTGCCTGCTGACCATCATTGCACTGGAGTGAATTAACATTTGGCTTGCAAGAAAAAAAAATGAAAATTACCCAACGTACTTTTAGATATTCAAAGGGGAAAAAGATATGTATGCTTTTAGGCATACATGTGATAATCAACTTAAAGTTTAACTAAAGGCAAAATGTTCATTTTTAGTTTTGGATGGAGAGGGTTTTCATTGCTGCCTGTGCCCCTGTTAGAGAGATTCAGCCTCTCTACTTGTCCTGTTTACTATTATCACCAAGAATAAAAGTTACATTTTTGGGTTGTCACTAGAACAAGAATAGAGAGGGCATGAGGCCCCTAGTTCCCTAGTTATAGTGACCATGGTGGTAAGAGAACCGGCACACTTGTTTGTGAGGTGGTTTGGGATTCTAACATGTGGATTCTCATCATTTGTAAGAATTCACATTTTTATTTTTACATATTTTTATTTGAAGTTTACCCTTATCGTTAATTATTTATTATGTGATTGTTATTTCACCATTGATCTGATGCCCATTGTTTAATAAGGTTTAATATGAATTTATTTTATTTTTTTCGTACATACTGTATAACAGAGATATTGTTTTTGCGCACCTTTTGGATTAATGACAACCAAGGATTGCCTCACTTTGAAGGGATTTCCTCCCACTTCATGTTTTAGCTATGAAACAGGAAATGAAGTGACATTTTCACAATAAGACAGAGATGCCAAGAAAAAAAACTGACAGGGGTTATAGTTTTGCCTTCAGTTCTACTTTAAATTAAACTTGCCATACTCTTTTATCTGAATGCCAGTTCTGAGACACAGGCCAATAGACTGTCAACGGAAAATTCTGTAACTTTACTGCAATTAATTTTCTTGTAAATTTTTTAATGTGTATCTAAACCCAAAACGAAATAATTTTAATGTATTTCAGGCTACCAATCCTTAGATGTAGTGACTGCATTGAATTTCTTTTTTTTTTATTTCCACTTAGTGATTCTGCTGGGAACAATCCTCCTGTCCTAGGATGACAATGTTCATTCACCTTTCTTTATCAGGACAAGAGAAACAAGATAGGACTATGGAACCCCACCTATCTCCTATTCTGCATAAAATAGAAGGGCATGGTGCTGTAGTTCTCAGAGAATAATATAACTGTTAACAGTCTGAACAAGTATTAAAAAGGATATTAATGGTAATTAATAGACAGAAAGGAACCGAATGAGAGAAGTTTGTAGGCAGGTGGTAGAACTGCATTGCAGAGTGAGAGGAAGTCAGGAGGAACTTACCCCTCTATGATTTCCTGGGTCACTGCGAGGCAATCCAATTGAATGTCGCTGTTCCATGTGACTCTGGTGGCCATCTTGGGTCATTCAGACTCTATTTAAACCCTGTCTCCCAGGCTTGGAGTCCATTTTGTGAGTGGACAGTATAGGGACAGGTTACCCATCTGTCTGGGAACGTGCATAGTGCTAGGGAAAGGTTCAGGGACACTCTTTCTTCTTCAAGAATCCTCTTAGTTGGGCATGGACCCACTAGGCCGCATTCCACCCTCTGGGACAGACACTGTCAGCGCATCAGCTGTACATTGCTACACAGAACTATGAGTGTTCCTGGTTGAGTGTCTTCTCGCTGGGCTGTCGGTGACTTTGGGCCATTACCTCAATATAAGTTTGGTTATTTGCAACTGGACACATGATGATTACCACGCTGCACCCACCCTCAAGTTCATTGGAGGGTTTACAAACACCTAAAGGGTTAGTTTACCTTTACCAAAATACTGTCTATACAGATAAGGGATGTCGGTGGATAAAAACAAAACTGTGTTGATTTGACCTAGGGTTGCCACCTCATTCCTTTAAAACCAAACACGTATTAATGACACAGGTTCTGAGTCTAATTTATTGCAGATAAGGCACTAAGTGATTTTAATTACCACCTTCATCAGCCACAGAACCTGTGTAATTAATATGTGTTCGGTTTTAAAGGGATGAGGTTGCAACCCTAGTTTGACCAGAGGTGAATAATGCCCTTGCTATAGGTATAGGCCTCTACATATGTCATGCATTCTGAATGAAAACTCCCAAGATTTTGCTAAGAGAGGCACAGCTAGTACTGTTTACCCCCATCACCCCACTATCACATGAGTGAGATCTTTCTGTAATTCATATCCCCTCACATGAGCTTTCCCTCCATTAAAGCAGTAGCTCTGAGGTCAGAGATTGAGACCTCACTCCTTTGATGGCAAACAGTAATAGCCTGTGCCTTGCTTAGCAGTGTTCTAGCAACATCCTGGGACTTCTCAGTCAGGGTTCATGAGGTATGTAAATGGCCTACACCTATAGCAAGGGCATTATTCAACTTTAGTCAGAGCTGCACAATTTGCTTTTATCTACAGACACCCCCAGGGGCAGACTGACCATTTGGAAACTCGGGCACTGCCCGAGGGCCCGGGGTCAGTAAGTGGCCCCATGAGATGCCCCTGGTACCTTTTTCACAGGCTTTTTTTGAGTTTGGGCAAGGACACAGGGGCCCTATGATCCCCTATTGCCCGGGGGCCCCATGAGTTGTCAGTCCGCCCCTGGACACCCCTTATCTGCATAGGCAATTTTTGGTAAAGGTGAACTAAACCTTTAAAGTAGTTGATAAATTAGCAATTAAGCAATTAAATGAAGCTTTTGTATTCCTTGGTAAAAATACAAGGCTTCTCTTGAACAGTGGAGAAGCATTCAGCGCTATTTAATTCCAGTAGCAGATGAGAAGTCCGGACTTCTGCCTGAACATAGCACTGCTTACTGTATGTAGCTAAAACTACTATAGTATTTTACAGCGCACACTGCGGCCCCATAGTTATGAAATGGAAAGTTAATTTGAGCCAGCTTGGTTAGGAGCATTTTGTCTGCATTATGAATAGGTAAAAAAAAAAAGAAGCAGGATAGATGGGGAGAGAATCCTGATCCTCCTTCATTTAGGGCCAATTCACACCAATGATGTGTGCTGTAAAATGCAGATCAATGGAAGGACATCTGAAAAACAATAATTTCCAGTGTGTCTTATGCAAACCATAACGTTGCGCATGCATGTCAACAGACATCAAAATGTATGTCAACGGATGTCAGAATGTGTTAAAATGCAACTAAAATGGATGGAAACGTACATGTATTCTCCATACATTTTAACACACGTCAATGTGTATTGGTCCTTACAGATTGTGTTACAAGCAGTGTAATTAATAACAAAAACTTTTCTCATTGGAGGAGGAGGTAAGAGGGGGGAAGTTCCCTGTTGGACCATCTTTACTGCAGCCTAAAGCTGTTAACTATTATAGCACCAGATTTCAGAGATAGGAAGAGGACAAGCATCCCGGCAGAGATTTCTCCAGCATCCAGCTATCTGCACAATGTGCAACATACTTCATTACAGGTAAGTGATGCGACCAAAGCGGTAAGGATTTTTTCCAGTTGAATTTCAGCTTTAATATAGAAAAATTTACAAATATAAATATAATATCTTGCCTCCTTGCTTTCTTCGTAGCCACGTGCTAATGCTGCTCATATCCTCCGGCACTTTGGAAATAAGATGTATTTGTTGGATGGTTTCTTCTTCCGTGTCTTTGCTGCTATGCCACCAATGCCGCAAGTCTTTGATGGGCTCGCCACACTATTAGCAGAGTAACCATCCATCATAGTAATGTTGAGGTACAGAAGTTTGGAGAGAGCAGAACCAAAAAGTGTTGTTTAGCTTAGAAAACATTGGGTTTTCTGATATGCAATGACATTTACTTGACATATAACTAGTAAACTAGGTATGTTCTTTGGTATAACATAATATTCTACTTAAAGGCCAATTCCACCTCTGAAGGCATGTTTCATGTTACACCCATGATTAGGGTGTCACATGGTGCCATTCCCCAACTGCCCCACAATAGCAGGGTTCTACTCTCCACTGGCATTTGTTTAATTTTGAATTCAGCATGGTCGCACATGGCTCTGTCTGCACATCCACATCATTCATTCACAGAGACCTGTGAATGAAGAGGCTACAAGTCCCTTCTGCCACTGTGGCCAAGGGACTAATAGTTCTCAATGGAACACAAGTACGGTGATGTCACCTCACTCATAGTCCAGCTCCATAACTGAGTGTCAATACCAAGGTACAGATCTGGGGCTGCAGGAGCCTGTGCATTGCATTTGTGATACACCAATCATGGTTATGATACATTTTCAGGCTCAAATGCAAAATGATAATAAATACACATTTTTTTCTTCTTTAATATGTGTGCATGTATTAATTTTTTTAAAGGTGGACTATGCCTTTAAGATCTTTAAATGTGTTCTGCATCATATCAGGAAGGATGTTTATAAAATATGTATAGCTTGAAGCATCGTAATACTGGCAGAAACCAAATCCGGTAAGTATGATTAGTGTTTGCTTTATGTAACTCATCAATTCACAATCTCTACAGTCTTTCAAGCCACAGTAGACTGTGAATCAGATGTTATTCAATGTGTTCTCGAGTACCTGCAAGAACAGACATCCAAATGGAAACAGAATTCTTCGTAGCTTCACTAACAGTGCCCTGCACAGTCCCTTTCAGAGGTTACATGATGACTTACCTTATTTCCCAGTCAGAGCGCAGGCTTCCTGCCATATAAAATTTTTTTCCAGTTTGTGTTCCATCACCTTTGCGCACAGCAAGGCTGCTCCTACCTACAGTCTGAAATGCACATATACTTCCCTGTCAAATGCAGATTATTGTCTTCAGTGTATCATAATGTATTACTCAGGTAACACTTGGGAGGGTTCAGCCCAAAAAAATTAAATCTGTATATAAATACCCTGCTCTAAAATGTCATTATGTACTGCAAAATTGTATAATGCTATTTTTTGTCTATTTATGGGATAGCATTGTGCAAAGGGCAACCAATCAGACTTCAGCTTTCAGCAGTGCAGAGTAACAAGACTAATGAGATATAATGTATGATTGGTCAGCTTGGGTCGCTGCTCTTTGAGCAGTGCTGCTTCTTTATCACTGTGCGTGGAAGACAAAATAAAGAATAATCTGCAATTAGGACTACAAAATATTTAATAGAAGTCTTTTTGGTTCATTTAGGGGTGTTTCCATTTTCCTTTCCTTTGACACTACAAATGTTTTACAAAGTCCCAGACATAGACAAAATTGATAAAGTTCTGTGACCAGTCTAAGGGCTTGTTCCTTGCTGTCCATCTGAAAAGCAATCCAGGGAGTATCGATATGTCACCTTTTCATCACCTGTCTTAACCTAAAAACACCAAACCAATGCATGCTGAATGAAAAATAACAGTGACTGCAGACACGTCTGATCCTGGAAACTGCTGCCCTACTGTTGACAGCCTCCACGGATGACATCAATGATCAAATATTAATTAACAGGGGGAACTCCGTGCAAAAAAATCAATAAAAAAAATCTTGCGGTCTCCTCCAAAAATCCATACCAGACCCTTATTTCAGCATGCAGCCTGACTGGCCAGAAAAAGAGGGGAGAGGCATATGATCCCCCCCCCAAAGCTTACTAGGTCACATGCCCTTAGTATCGAACATAGTACCCCTTTATTATTCATTTTAAAAAAATGTCTAAATAAAATCATACAGTTGTTGACAAGTCCTTTAATAAAATGAAAAATCTCACAATGTGAATCCATTGTCCAATCACTGAATGACAGCTCTCCAAGCTGTCATCAGTAAAATATGGAAACAGGTAGGCATGGTGGTGACTAGAGATGAGCGAATCGAACATGGCGAAGTGGAATTCGTTTCGAATATCAGGAAAAATTCGATTCGCGCCGAATCCGAAAATTAGCAAACTTCGGATGCACGAATCGAATTTTCCCAAAAATGGCGGCGACATGTGTGGCGACGGAGCGGGGATCTCTGGGAAGGCGCGCAGACAAGGCGCGCTGACCCATAATGCATTCATTCATGACATGTGATCGCATTAGCCAATCAGCAGCCAGCCAGCACTGTGTAATGGTGGAGCTATAAATTGCGGCGGCCATCTTACAATTCTCCATTAGCCTCTGGTCATTCAAGAGAGACAGACCTGTCTGTATTAGGGACAGAGTTAGGGCCAGAGAGACTTTAGGGCCACAGAATCGTTACTTAGGGACACAGAATCGTTACTCAGGGACACAGAATTGTTACTCAGGGACAGACACAGAATTGTTACTCAGGGACACAGAATTGTTACTCAGGGACACAGAATTGTTACTCAGGGACACAGAATTGTTACTCAGGGACACAGAATTGTTACTGAGGGACACAGAATCGTTACTGAGGGACACAGAATTGTTACTCAGGGACACAGAATTGTTACTCAGGGACACAGAATTGTTACTGAGGGACACAGAATCGTTACTCAGGGACACAGAATCATTACTCAGGGACATAGAATTGTTACTCAGGGACACAGAATTGTTACTCAGGGACAGACACAGAATTGTTACTCAGGGACACAGAATTGTTACTCAGGGACACAGAATTGTTACTCAGGGACACAGAATCGTTACTGAGGGACACAGAATCGTTACTGAGGGACACAGAATTGTTACTCAAGGACACAGAATTGTTACTCAGGGACACAGAATTGTTACTCAGGGACACAGAATCGTTACTGAGGGACACAGAATCGTTAGTGAGGGACACAGAATTGTTACTCAGGGACACAGAATTGTTACTCAGGGACACAGACTCACAGACACAGAATTGTTACTCAGGGACACAGAATTGTTACTCAGGGACACAGAATCGTTACTGAGGGACACAGAATCGTTACTCAGGGACACAGAATCGTTACTCAGGGACACAGAATTGTTACTCAGGGACACAGAATTGTTACTCAAGGACACAGAATTGTTACTCAGTTACTCAGGGACACAGAATTGTTACTGAGGGACACAGAATCGTTACTCAGGGACACAGAATTGTTACTCAGGGACACAGAATTGTTACTCAGGGACAGACACAGAATTGTTACTCAGGGACACAGAATTGTTACTCAGGGACACAGAATCGTTACTGAGGGACACAGAATCGTTACTCAGGGACACAGAATTGTTACTCAGGGACACAGAATTGTTACTGAGGGACACAGAATCGTTACTCAGGGACACAGAATTGTTACTCAGGGACACAGAATCGTTACTCAGGGACACAGAATTGTTACTCAGGGACACAGAATCGTTACTCAGGGACACAGAATCGTTGAATTAAAGAGTATGTCAGACAACACGCAGAGGAGTGGCAGAGGAGGCAATGTTTCAGGAGCGAGCAGACGTGGCAGCAGAGGAAGGGGTTGAGGCAGCACTAGTCGCAGCCAGAGGCCAGTGCTCCCGTGTCATCCAGCGGTTGTGTCTCCACCGACAACCCTGCCGTCATCGATTGGTTGGCTCGGTCGTCTTCCTCTTCCCAGGTCACCTCTGACACCTACAGCCAACGGTCGGTGGGTACGTCAGACACAACCGTTAGTTGGCATGGCCCGGGAGCAAGCCCACTGAAATCACGTGTCCTCTACCTGCCCTGCCCTGTCCTTTGGTGTTCCCTCACCAAGCGAAGTATCG